TGCAAAATTCTCATATAAAAAGTAGCCTTCCTATATACCAATAACAAATGTACTAAGAAAGTAAACAGCCCCGTTCACAATTGCCTAAAGAAATACCTTGGAATAAACCTAACCAAGGAAGTGAAAGACCTCTACCTTTAAAACACTGAAGATAGAAAAACCTCCCATGCTTGTGGATTGGAAGTTTTAATATTGTGAAAATGACTGTGCCACCAGAAGCAATCTACAAATTCAGTCCAATCCCCATCAAAATCCCAATGTCATTTTTCACAGAAGCAGAAGAAAAATTTTCAGTTCATATGGAAGCATGAAAGACTCCTGATACACAAAGCAACCCCGAGGAAAAAGGACGACAAATTGATTCATAGCGTATCTCAGGGACTCGAGAGCCAGTGACAGAACGGCTCGGGACTGGCACAGAAACAGCCACCAAGATAGTCACAGAACACAGGGTCTGGATATAAACGCGTGTGGTGACAGCTGCCTGAACCGTGACAAGATTCCCAGACTGTACGATGGAGAAGAGTCTCTTGCAAATGATGGAGGAAAGCTGGACATCCACGTGGAGGAGAGTGGAGCTAGAGCCTTAGCTCTTGCCGGACGCGAAGATCAACCTCAAATGAATCCAAAACCTTAGCATGAGCCCTGAAAACTCTGACACCTGTAGACGAATTTCTAAACAGTCTTATTAAATAAGAAACACAGAGCCAAATTCAGGGGTGATAGCCGAAGAGATCAGAGAAATAGCAAAGAGCCACTGACTAGCTTTAACTTACCACCATGCCGTAGCTTCCCAAGAGAGAGCTTCTTCCTGTCTAACCTGTGCTTTTATTGCCTTCCTGTTCTGCCTTCTCATTGGCTCTAAGCCCAGCCACATTACTTCCTCGTCATTGCCTGTCTATACAGACCTCCAGGTCTCTATGTTTGGTACTAGGATTAAAGGCGTGTGTCACCATGCTTGGCTGTGTCCTTGACCACACAGAGACTCTGCCTGCCATGTGATTGGATTAAGGGCATGAGCTGCCACCACCTGACTTCTGTTTATGGCTTGCTATGTGACCTCTGATCTCCAGGCAAACTTTATTTATTAACATACAAATAAAATACCACATTTCAGCACAAATAAAATATCACCACAGACACCAGTAGAAAACATTTCTAGGTGTTGGCATAGGGGCTGGAGAGGTACTTAGTGGATGAGGGTGCTTGCTGTTCTTCCAAAGGACTGGGGTTTGGACCCCAGCACCCACATTTGACTTCTTACAGCTGCCTGTGTGACTCCAGCTCCAAGGGCTCTGGCACCTCCTCTGGCCTCTACAGGTACTGCATACAGGTGTGCATATACACGCATGTAAATAAAAAAAAATCTTAAAAAAATACGCTGGCACTGGCAAGAACTTTCTGAATAGAACTCATAAAGCAGTTGACAAGTGTGATTTCATGAAATGAAAATAACTTCTGCATAGAAAAGGAAACAACAGAGAGAAGATATAGCAAAATGGGAGAAAAATCTGTGCTATGTGAGAGAGAATTAATATCAAGAATATACAAATAAATAAAAAATACCCAATGAACCAAACAATAAATGGACTAGTGAACAAACAGTTACCAAAAAAGGAAATACAAATGACCAATAAACATGAAAAATGTTTACCTGGCCATCCGCAAAGTGCAAATAAAAACTACATGGAGATCCCATCTCGTCCAAGGCAGAGTGGCCGTCAGAAAACAACATCAAACAGTGGTGTGGGTGTGAACCAAAGAGGACCTGTAAGCTCTGCTGGTGGGATGTGGACTAGTCAAGCTACTGTGGGAATCAGTGTGGAGTGTCCTCAGAAGACAAAAAACAGACCCACCCTGGGACCCCACTATATTCTCCTAGATGTTTACTTAAAAGACTCCAGTCAGCATAGCATAGAGACATCGACACATCAGTGTTTGTTACAGCACCGTTCTCCATAACTACATGGTGGTACCCATACCCATCAATATAGGAATGGAGAAAGAAGATGCAGTGTGTGCACACAATGAATTGTTTTCAGCCGTGAAGAAGAATGAAGTTGTCATGTGAAGGAAATGAATGATGGAGATCATCATGCTAAACAAATGAGGTGGTCCTCAGGATGACAGATTCCAATGTTTTCTCTCACTTACAGGTCATAGATATTATAAATACATAAAATCATGTGTGTATAGATGTTTAGAGAAATTCAGAGGACTAAAGAGAGTGTGGAGAGCCAGGAAGGGGAGGTTAGGGAGATGAGGGGGGGTGTTCTGTTCAAAGTACATATAGTTACAAGTATATACTTGCCTTATGTAACCAAATTAAAAAACAATAAAACTAATGAGGCTGGGAAGATGCCTTAGTCTATAGGATGCTTGGTGGACAAGCATGAGGACCTCACTTCCATCCTCAGCATCTATGGAAACAGCTGGTTGTGATGGCTTATGCATGTAATCCAGGACTGGAGAGGCAGACAGATAGAACCCTGGGGCTTTTTGCCCAGGCAAGCTATACTAATTAGAGAGCCCTAAGCTCCAGTGAGAAACTCTGACTCAAAAAGATAAATAAAATTTAAAAATAAACTGAGAGGATGGTGCCTGAAGAATAACACCCAAGGTTGGTCTCTGGTGTATACATACACTGTACACACACACTGCACATATGTATGCACACACACTGTAAATGCTTAATAAATGTAAAACTGCTGAAAAGGAATGATGAATAGCCAAGGTGATATTATGCTAGTTACTTCCAGCTGATCATCGCATACTATAATGGATTGTATCCTAAAGTAACATGTGCATTTACTATGTATCAATTTAACAATTGAAAAAATTGTGAGGGAAAGGAACATGTTTCTCTCTCCCCCACAAGGTTGCTGCTTTGTCTTTCATACCAAGTAAATCAGGTCTACTTTTCCCCCATTGAACTTTCCAAAGTGCATCATGTGCACTCCAAGCCTGCTTGGCCACTGACTGAACAAGTCCAAACCGTGAAGACTTGAACATCCGTGGCAAGCCCAGTGGCTGGCCTCCTTCCAGCTCTGGGGCCGGAACTCCCCTGCTGCATTCTAGTTCATGTCTCCAGCAACAGTTTTTTCTCAGCATCATTGTGTAAGTGCAGATTTGTTTTGGTGTTTCTGCATCTTCTGTCCGGGTTTTCCCTCCTGGGGTGAGTGTCCAAGTTTAAGCACAGAGCCAGACCTAGCCGTGGGTCTGTGCAGTGGCCTGAAAGGTGCAGCTGCCATGCCACGTCCTGGTCCCCACACCCTCCTTCCCCTGGCTTTGAAACTTTCAAACTGCCCGGCTCTCCTTTGTGACTTTATTTAAGCCCTGGGCCATCTTTGCTAAGTTAAAGCTTTATTGGTTAGTGTTGTAGCTTCTCTTCAGACACATTCTGTTGTCCTCAAGTTGACACTCCTGAAAAGAAACAACCCCGCCCCCCAGCCCTAAAATGCTGTTCCCAAAATGTTTCAGCAACTTTCAAGTGGATAGAAAGTTAAACTCCTACACTCGGGTGTGACAGGCAGTGCCTGGGAAGCACAGGCAGGCAGACGTGTGGCCCGCTCCATCAGGAAGTGCTGAGATAGACATCTGCTCCCGTTCTGAAATAACCCGTGACCTTCAGCCCGCCACCAAACTCCTCCAACTCACATTTTCCTCCTCCAAAATCAGATGCATCAGCTCTGTTCCAGGTTGGTGGCAGTGCTGTGCAGACAGGTATTCAATACCTATTTTAAGTTGTGTGGCAAACAATACTGCAGTTGTCTATAGGTATTTTGATTTGAGAGCTCAAAAAAAAATGTAATAGGAAAATAAAATATTGGTGATTTTGAGTATTTCAGACTTTGGGTTCCAAAAACAGTGTCACTAGTCTCCACAGGGCCGAATCTAAGTATGTACATTACATTCTGTCACGGACGTCCATAGGACTGAATCTAAGTATATACATTACATTCTGTCATGGACCCCCATAGGACCAAATCTAAGTATATACATTACATTCTGTCATGGACCCCCATAGGACCAAATCTAAGTATATACATTACATTCTGTCACGGACCTCATAGGACCAAATCTAAATATGTCCATTACATTTTAGAGAAACAGTATCATCATTTCTGGCAGGTTTCGATGTGTTCTCACACTTCAGAAAGGAGTTCATTTAAGTGGGTATTGTTTGTGGAGAAATAACCTTATTTTGGATTCCTTGTGTAGTCTCGGGGTAGAAGAATGAAGGAATTGAAAGTGAGGGAGTGCCTTCTGTTGTCTTTTCTCTCCACCTCTGAAGTGTAGGGAATGCCTCCAGCAACTAAAGAAGCACACGAGCACAGAGCACAAAGTGGGCCTTGGGGACCTGACCCTGATGGGGCCGCCCACGAGGCTCAAGGGTGGATTCTGGGGGATCGCTTTTCCTGGGAAGCTTTGGGCACTTATAGCCAAGCCAGCAAAGTTCATTTTCAAGCTCCTAGCTCCCCCTTACCCCCATATTTCTGGAGACATGCCAAGGCCTTCCAAGTGGTCCTGGGGGGCTTAAAATGATTGCTCTTTTTACTCAAGGTGGTGTATTTATTGTTACATCCACTTTTTACTCAAAACCATATGTATTTGAGGGCATTGAAGCAAAGGTATCATCTATATTTTCGGCATCCACAGTTTGATGATGATGCTTTAATTATTTATTATTCTTTTGCTGTTTATCATTTTACCAGAAATATAAGCACTGTTGATCTTGCGAAGAACTCTGTTTCTCTCCCTCCCTTTCCTTTGACTTTTTCCCTTCTTATTTTCCATTTCCTTTCTTTCCCTTCCTGTTCCTTTCCCCCTCCCTGCTTGCTCCCCTTCCTCTTCCCCTTTGTGGTCTCTTCCTGATCACCCCAGATTGTCAGGTGACTGCCGAGGGGTTTCTTTGGGAGGGAAGGGCAAGAGACTAACCCTTCCTTGTTGGCAGTGTGGCCTTGCGTTCTGACCCCTCCTGTGCTCTTTTCCTCTCCCAGGGCGTCCTCTCCAACATCTCGTCCATCACTGACCTCGGGGGCTTTGACCCCGTCTGGCTCTTCCTCGTGGTGGGAGGAGTGATGTTCATTCTGGGGTTTGCAGGGTGCATCGGAGCACTTCGGGAAAACACCTTCCTTCTCAAGTTCGTAAGTATCGCCAACCCTGCTCTCGATTTGAGATCCAGACTATTCCACCAAGATGGCACTCTTAACTGCTGGCAAGATGGTAAGCACACCAAAGGCCTAGGCAAGAAATATGGCCCGGTCCATTTTTCCTTCAGGAGGGCTCTCCGATCCTGCCCCGCCCCACGCCTCTCTGGCAGTATGAGTGCCACCCAGTCTTGCCGTGCATGGAGGTTTTGTGTATATATATATATATGCAACAGACTCACCTCCAATCCCTGACGTAGCCTCAGGAGGGATTGAGATGTGTAGGGGTGTGTGTTGTATGTGTGAGAGCGCACACGTGTGGCTGGTGAATATTGGACATAGAAAGCTGTGCAGAGAGTGATCCAGAGAAAGTAGGCAGTGGCCCAGCTTCAGTAGCCCGTCCAGCTTGCGTAGTTTGGATAAACATGGCGATATGTCAAGGTGAAAACTCTCCTTTGTATGAGCAGCACTTTTTAGCTGCTTTCCAGTGTGTGGCTGCTGCATTTGGGGAGGGACTTCAGCAGGAGGTATGTGGGGATTGGGGCAAAGAGATAATGAATAGTGAAAGCCGCCCCTTTGGAGCACATTTAACATACTTGTGTCTTAAATAAGACTGGTAAATGTGGCAGCTTCCTTGTTGATGACCTCAAGTGGATCTTCAAGTTGCTTTCTATACTTTGGAAAATGAGAAGTTAGCTCACAACATGTCTGTTTCTGCCAAATATTTGGTATGGATTGAATTTGGCCTCATTTTGTGTGGGGGTTGGCATTCTAGTGATTTCTGTAGGAAAAACATTCACTCTCCTCTCCAAAGATAGGAAAGATCAGAAGGACCTGCCTTCCTGTGAGGAGGGAGGACCTGGAAATTTCCAGAGAACAACTTTGTGTGATATTGCCTGTTATTATAGCCTTCACACCCCTACTGACATATCTTCTCGGGTCATTTTCACTTAAAACCGGAGCCTATCCTAGAACCAGCCCGAACAGCCACATAGCGTGTCTGCTGGACTCTTCTCTGACATGTTTTCTTGATCTTCTCGAAGAGGAGACTCGCCATTCCAATCCTAGGGTAGCCCATTTTCAACTGGGGCGGCTCCTGCTCCCTGAGTATCCTGGTTGATGTTTCCTTTCATCTTTTTATGTGGCTCACTCCAAGAGGGAAGACCTGGGGAGTCCTTGCTCTCAGATGTAGTTTAATGAGGAGCTAGCTCTTTTTCCTGTGTGCATGGTGGGAGTGACTAGTTTCCCATGGTTCTCGCTGCCTAGCTACCCCATCTTCCAGAATGACCCTTTTCTACACAGGCACACACAGAGCCTTGTGTGACGCCCCCCACCCTCATCCCTACCCCCACTGCCGCTTTCTTCACGGAGTCAAAGACCTGTGGAGTCCCTTCAAGGGGTGTTTGTCCCTGATCATGACCTGCCAGCCTGCCAGTCTTCTTGGTATCAAGCATCTCTAAATGCTGGCCTGGTTCACTCAGCTTTCCTGTAAACCATGATCTGCCCCACTACTCAACCAATGCAACCTCCATGCTCCCAAATGTGGGGTCCCTTTACTATGGTTTTCTTGAACATGGCGTTATTCATTATAGCAATCCCCTTCCTAAAGCCTCATATTAGATATGAAAAGAGCCATGTTCTTAACTTTTCATCTTAGAGAATATTTAAATGTCCTCCCTTTATTTAGTACTAACAATAGAAGCTGGCCTAGAACTCTCTCTAAGCAGGAGCTATGAGATAAGTAGGAAATAATGTCACCATGCCTCCCCACAACCTCAAAGATCATGTTGCCCAAGACTAGGAAGATTGCTGGGGGGGAAACCCAAGAGGTAAGTGTGAAATAGACGTGGCGTTTCTTGGCTGACTGATGCCCTCAAATGAAGCTGCAGGTCACTTTCTGCACCTCTGGAAATGGGGGAGTTAGCTCACAGCTGGGCAGGTCAGCCCCTGCCAAATATTTGATAGGGATTGAATTTGGATTCCATATTTGATGTGTATATTATGTAACTGGAGAACTTACCAGGCAACTGGAAAGGGGACTTCCCTAACCTTTGTAGAGGTGAGAACAGAAATCTGGAGTCTTCATGCAGCTGTCCAGCTGTGTCACACACAAACATGCCTGTTCGCATTTTATTCCTTCTGTGGTGTGAGGCCTGTATGTGTCCGCATTTAGGGTGATACCATATGCAGGGAAGAGGCTTGTTTTATAGGAAGAGGGAGGTAGGGGCATAAGTGCTCATTTTTTTTTTCTTGTCTAAGGCAAACTTAATTTGAAATTATTGGTACCACTGAAAATTGAGAACTTGGCATTTTACTTCATTGAGGACAGATAAACAGCAGCTCAGGGGGAGATCGGAAGGCTGGGCCGAAGAGCCTGGAAGCGGAGCCTGTGCCTTGGCATCCTAGACTTTGTCAGGCACTGGTTTTGTCCTTCTGCCCCTCTTCCCTCACTCCCCTATAAAGACACACTTGTCACTCCATGCCATGAAGAGAATGGCCACACCCCACTGTCCACCCAGCATGTCCTCCCCGCCACGCCACGTGTCACCTCCAGGTCATAGCTTGAGGAGGGTTAAGATGCAGGAGGAGGGAGGTGTGGAAAGGCCCGTGGGCGGAGCGGCAGTCACGATGACTAACACGAAACTCTGAAGTATCTGGGTGGAAGGGAAATTTCCCCAGGGTCCTGATGGGTTACCTCAGGGTCTCATGCTCTCTAGCCTTATACCTTGTTATCAGCCTTAGCCAGAAGTCTCCTTTTGATTGCATTGTGGTGTTATTTAAAGTGTTTCCTGAGGCTGCTGCTTCCCAGACGGGAGTCAAGAGCGGCTAGTGTTCCTGAGAAAGCCCTTAACCCACAGTTTCATTTTCACGATTGGAAATTGTTTTCCCGTCACAGCCACCCCCTCCTACTTCCGCTCTGACCTCTTTAAGATGAACAGATCTACTTCACACTCTATAGGAGGTGCAAGGAGGGATTAAAATGGGAATCCAGAACAGGATAATGGAGTGCGTGTGGAATCAAGCCATGGTAGCAAATGACAGGCGATCGTAAAACATGGGATAATCTACCTTTCAAGTTAGGAAAAAGGCTTCCTGGAGGTCAGGCAGAACATTGTTCATATGTCTGGTAGTACATTAATCAGGAGCAATTCATTAGGCCTTAATGTGGGTCTAATGAGAAATTCCTATTACTCATGTTTGATTTGGGCTTTGTTGGTTAATTATCAGATGGAACACCAGAGACTCTAAAATGTGATTATGAAGTGATCTTTAATTTTTAAAAGTCCTTTCTTGAAGTGTAATATTCCATTAACAAACCTTAAGAAACGGAGGATTCCAGTTCAGAGATGCGTCCCGGCTGAATGTAACTACAGCCCTTTCAGAGCCAGCCCTAACTCCTGGGACCTCACCCTTGTGACCATTCCGTTGTTCCTCTCGTTGCAGTTTTCTGTGTTCCTGGGGATTATTTTCTTCCTGGAACTCACTGCCGGGGTGTTGGCGTTTGTTTTCAAAGACTGGATCAAAGACCAGCTCTATTTCTTTATTAACAACAACATCAGGGCTTACAGAGATGACATTGACTTGCAGAACCTCATAGACTTCACCCAGGAATACGTAAGTTCAAGCTTCCTTTCCTTTCCAGTGGAAACAGCTTCTCACAAGGGGAACTCCCATAATGCCTTGCGTGCCTTTGACTCCCATAATGCCTCATGTGTCTTTGACTCCTATAATGCTTTGTGTGTCTTTGCTGGCTGGAGACATCTGGCTGACTTTTCTGCATAGCTTCCACGGTTTACATTTGTATCCCAAACAGAAACGTTCTGATTTCACTTGTTTCAACTTGTATTAAATTAGAGGAAGGAAGACATAATTGAAAATGTGATCATCATGGCTGTACCTTTGTCGGCCCTTGGAGAAAACTGCTTTTCTGTATGTTTAAAGTTCTGTTTGACTAAATATGAATTTTCCATGTTCCTTTCCCTACAGCTCACAATAATTGACAGGGTATTTGTTCATAAAGCTGCTCAAATGTGCCTATCCAGCTACCACATGTGTGCAGTCCAACCCAAAAGTTAGAGACTTGTAAAAGCTTGCTAGCTTCTAACAAATGGGATAGGCGGACCCCTGCCAGCCACACAGGGGTCTGAACACGGCCGTGTGACTGACTGCTCCTGTCCTGCCAACACAACAGGCACATGGCATGCCACTCAGAATGCAGATTGGCACAGACAGGGAGCCAAGAGACGCACAGTCTCATTGACTTGGGACTAACAGAAGCCTGAACTCTTTCCCTGATAGTAAAATGAGAGTAAACGTGAGCTATTGTCTTAATTCCTGTGGATATTCGGACACTCTACTGATGCGCATGGTCTCATATTAGGCCCACGATGTCATTGTCCTGCAGATTACGGGGCTCTCACACACCTGCACTGGAAAAATAGGAGCAAGCCAAGCAAACTGGGTCAGTGGTGTCCATGGCATTGATGTTTAGAGCAAGATCAGGGGCCACACAGAAGCTCAGTGGACCAAGGTCTTGCTTTGAGTTGGAAAGGCTGAGCTGGATAACATTTACCTCGAGTCAGGAAGGCATCACCATTGTTGAGAAGGCCACCCTTCTCAGGATGCTCAGCAGTCAGCTGGGGTCTTAGTCAGAACAGCTGCCCTCTACAGCACGCTGCCCTCGGTGAAATGAAGCCCTGTTTGACCTGCTCAGCAGACCTCCCTGTGTTGTTGGGTCTCAATGGGTGCAAGCTCACAGCTTCCCAGCTCTTCTCCCTGAGTAGTTTGCATGGCAGAGCTGATTGGGCTTCGCAGGGAGATAAGCCCAGAGAAGCAGCCGGACCTACAGAGCATGTGTTCATGAGTGTTCCTGACACGCTGCCTGCTGTACTCACCAGCACTGCTGTTTTATGTGATTCTGGTCTTCTGTTCTAGAGTTAGAGTTTTGACATCGCTTTTGGTCCTGAAAGTCTTAAAATGGCCAAGGGTTGGTTTTTATTTAAGAAGCCAGGATAATCCAGGACAGGGAGGTTGTGGGTGGGTTATATTGTAGCTGGAATAAGTCTCCAGTTAAGAGCCACTGAATTGAACATCTTGGTTAGTATATTTTAATTAGCTAATTGATTTTGTAAAGTTGAAAATATAAAAATATGTTCTTTAAAAAAAAATCAGAGTCTGGAGAGATGGTTCAATTCTCTAGTTCAGTTCCCAGCACCCACATGGCAGTTCACACCTATCTGTAATTCCAATTCCAGGGGACCTGACACCCTCACAGAGACATACATGCAGGCAAAACACCAGTGAATATAAAATAATAAAAAATTATTAAAAAATAAATTCAGCATAGAGACCAAGATCATGAAAATTAAGCCTCTAAGGTTGTATAGAGGTGGGTTTCGTTCACTCTGGTTTTTGTTTGTTTGTGGTTGTGGGGATTGGACCCAGGGCCCCACCATGTTTGACCACTGCACCACTGACCATCAGCCTGCTGTGCACGGTCTTGTGAAGGGTGACAGCTCCACAGCCTTCTACACGATCAGAACTTCCCAAAGTGTCTGATGTTCATCTGATGCCGCTACACTCAGTAAAACTGTTCAGGAACCATTCAAATAAGATCAGATCCTCAGGCACGGCCAGATTGCCTCATTTGACCTTGCCATTGCTGTTAGTGTTTTATTTTTCCTTCTAGAAAGTTCTTGTTTATCTCTCTAGAATCTGACCAAGCCAAATAGATCTGGAGCCCTACGTCCCCGTCGTCCCTACCTCATGTTCCATGCCAACCCATCTGCAGAACCTTCGGTCTTAATTATTTTGCAGGGCTTTACAAGGCCATTTAGGTTGATTTTAACTAAAAAATGAAATTTGAGGTGCTGGCCCTGGCAGGGGAACGGGTGTCGCGTGGGTGGAGCGTGGGTGGCTGGTCACCTCCCGGCCTGGACGTCCTTTCTAACTCTCTCCTCTTTGCTCTAGTGGCAGTGCTGTGGGGCTTTTGGAGCTGATGATTGGAACCTAAATATTTACTTCAATTGCACAGATTCCAATGCAAGCCGAGAGCGATGCGGCGTGCCGTTCTCCTGCTGTACTAAAGACCCCGCGGTAAGGGTGACTGCTGGCTGACGGCCGGCTGCTGGGCCCCGTGCTCACCGGGGGTGTGGCGGCACAGTGATTTTGTCTCAAAATCTCTTCTCACAAGCTCAGGCCTGAATACAGCTCCTAGGTGTGGGTGCTGTGCCCCAGCCTTCCCAGTTGAGACAGGGTGGCTGGTGTTTATTTAGCAAGTGTGTGTGTTGGTTGGTTTCTGTTCTCAGCCTTGGTGTGTATTGGCTCATGGGAGGTCAGAAAAGGAGCTCCTTTTCTCGGGTGAAAAAAAAAAAAAAAAAACCATGGCGTCACGTGGATTACAGATGACTTCTCCCAAATCGCAGTGCTGACAGGTGACAGAGTTGGGTGCCAGACCCGGGCAGCCTGCCTGTGACACTCACTTGTCCCTCTTTTATGAGACTGTGGGGCTCCCAGGTGAACCGTCTCTTCCCATATGATTTCTGGGAAGAGGACTGGGGTAGGAGGAGAGACTGAGGCATGACAAGGTAGGAATGCTGCTTAGGGAGCCACAGTGACCCCAAGGGAGGCCTGAGGATGGCCACAGCGGCCGTCATTTGTGTTTCACTTTGAAAAGAAAACAGAGAACCCGCCCACAGGCCGCATCTCCTTACTGCGTGTCACACTGTGTGCATGGCTTACAGAATTTAAAAAAAAAGAACAGAACCGGGAGCTGGTGTGGCCCCTGGGAGGAGACAGGCCCGGCCTTCCCCACAGTGGAGCACTGGGCGCTGACGGTCTTGCAGGCTGCCCATCGGAGGGCAGATCAGCCTGGGCCGAGCATCACTTAGAACTGTGCCACCCTGCCTGTGATTCCGTTCTAGCCAGCCTGTCTTCCTCCTCTGAGGCAGGTCAGGAAGCAGCAGGATGCCCAGGTTGAAGTCTGTGGTGCCCACTCAGTATGTGCAACCTGGGCGCATACTGGCCAGCGTGCTCTCTGTTTTCTATCTCTGTCCTAAATCAGCTGTCCATGAGAAATATCGTAGAGTGGGCAGCAACAGTAGTCTGCCTTACGCCATGGACTCTGAGCTGACGAGGTCCATCTCTGACCCCGGAGGGGAGGAAGCAGCTAACCCACAATATTTCCAGCCAGATCCTGGAGATGCCTGTTTGACACGTGGCCAGGCCGTGTTTTGCTTTGTAATTAGTAACATAATGCTTTTTCATTAAAACAAAAAAACTTTAAAGACAGAATTTTATTGACGAAAAGGGACAAGCACATATTTGTCATGCTTAAGACCCTACATCTTTTGTAGATTTTTTTTTAAAGGGAGCGCATATTTGGCATGCATAAAACCCTAGATCTAATGTCTCCTGCTTTTTTTTTTTTTTTTAAGCAGAAATTGTGAAAGAGCATAAAGATGGTCATTTTGTCCTTTAAGTTTGATTTTTGCCTATGTCTCCACTTCCCCAAACTCTTGAAGCCTTCTGAGGTTGGCAGTCTTTTGAATCTTGTTCCTTCCCAGCATAACGGGCCTGCTAGGGTCTCGGTTTTCCTCATTTCTAAGGTGGAAAAGTTTTTACTCCATACTTCTGAAGCTGCTCTCGTATGCACGCATGTGGCATCTGATGCACACGGCGCCTTGAACTGTGCTGCGGTCTGTGTGCCCTCATCGGGACTCAGCACTGATGTTGCGGGGGGGGGGGGGGGGCTCCTGCTCATTCTTAGACGGGCTTTCTGTTGAAGAAGAATGAGTTTCACTTTTCTCTTCCTTTCTCCCCCAGGAAGATGTCATCAACACTCAGTGTGGCTACGATGCCAGGCAAAAACCAGTAAGTGGAAGCCGCCCCTGTGTCTTAGCACACAGCGTGTTGGGAGGAGCGTTTGCGCGTGTACAAGGCTGTATCTGTGACACTCTGCTCTCTTCCCCTGTAAAGGAAGTTGACCAACAGATTGTAATCTACACGAAAGGCTGCGTGCCCCAGTTTGAGAAGTGGCTACAGGACAATTTAACCATCGTGGCTGGTATTTTCATAGGCATTGCATTGCTGCAGGTAAGGTGTGGGTCCTTGGTGGTGTAGCTCAGACAGTGATGCCCAGAGAGACCTCACCAGGACAGGAGCTTTGCTCAGCCTCCTCAGCGCCAGAGCTTCTGAGACCCACTGGAGGTCCTAGGAACAGACTGGAACTGTTAGGTTTGTGTTTATTGAAGGTCTGGTTCTAGATCCGGAAACACGTTAGGAAACCATGCCCCCTTTTCACCATGAAGAGGTTGATCGAATCACTGGCATCCCATTGTTTCCATGGGCTTAGAGGACTGCATTGTGACAGCTGCGGGAGACATGGCTGCTCAAAGTGGATCTCAGCAGCAAGGCCGAGGCTCTGTGGAGTTGCAGAAGTCTGTGCTGTGTCTTTTGTCTCTCTGGACCAGCTTGCCAGAGTGCCTTGAGGGCAGTCTCAGAAGTGACTCGGCTGTTGATGTGATGGTTTCTGCGGAGGTCACAAATGGGCACACGGTGGAAGGAAGTTAAAGAAGTCTTGAGTAAATAGAAAGGCATCCTGTGTTCACGGATCATAAAACTCAGTATGATTCGCGTGGCATCACTACTCTTGATGGCCTAGAGGTTCCGTGCAGTCTCTAGCTCAGTCCCAACCTTCTCAGTCCCAGCCGTGGGCAAGCTGGGCCTGAAATCACAAGGAAAACCAAAAACAAGAATAGCCCGACACGTTTGAGAAAGAACAGAAGACAAAGAATTTCATGTTTCCTAATTAAAACTTCCTAAAAAGTAACAGGACTCAAGACAGTCTTGTAAGGTTAGCTGTTGTAGACAAATGGGGTTCAATTCCGGACAGAATTTCTGTGAGCTTTGTTTTGATAAGGGAGTCAAAACTATTCAATGGGGAACCAAAAAAGGTTTTTGAGGGATGGAAAAATGGCTCAGCAGTTAAAGAGCACTGGCTGCTCTTCCAGAGGACCTGGGTTCAAAATTCAGCCTCCACAAGGCAGCTCACAGCTGTCTTTCACTATAGTGCTAAGGGATCTGATGCCCTTTCTGGCCTCCATACACGCTGTATGAATGTGGTGTGCAGGCATGCATGTAAGCAAAACACCTATACACATTAAAAAAAAAAAACTTAGAAAAGTTTTTTCACCGGATGATGTAGGGATACTGATTTTCTGTCTGAAAAGACTGACTTTTAGATACCTGTTTCATATCATATTTAAACATTCACGTAAAATAGATGAAAGACTCAAATGTAAGTGTGGTGTACTGGATGCCTGTAATGCAAGCTGTTAAAAAGATTGGAGCAGAACGGTCACTTAAGACAGCACAACCAGCCTGGTCTTCATAGTTGGACCCTGGTGTAAAAACAAATGAACAAAAACCCCAATATAAAAACCAAAGAAACTAGAAGAAAATAGGGTGTAAATTGGTGATTTTTGTCTTGGACATTTTCCTTCAAAGAGCATGACAGCAAAAATATAACCACCCAATAAAACCTAAGTAATGGGACTTCATCAAAATATGAAACTTCTACACTGAAAATGATGCTATTTACGGTTACTCATAAAATAGCAGAAGATATTTGTGAGTGGTTACCTGAAAGGGATCTTAATGCTTAGAACATGTGAAAGGGGCTTATACCAAACAACAAGAAGAAAGGACAACCTGAGCTACCTAGCAAGACCCAGTTTAAAAGTGACGGAGAATTTCAGTAGACATTTCTCCGGCATAGATAGAATTGGCCTGTTACATATGAAAAGATGTCCACAGCGCTCGTCACTAGAAAACTTCCAATCAAAACTATAGTGAGCTCACCATTGCATACCTGCTAGAGTGGCTATAATAAAAAAGACAGAGGATGTTCATGAGGGTGTGAAACGGAACATTAATACGTTTCTGGAGGGAGGAAACAGAAACGGCTCAGCTCTTTGGAAAATATGGAATTGCCATGTGACCCCACCATTTCTCATGAATGCAAGCAGAGGGAATGAAAACTTACGTTTACCGAAACATTTGCACACACGTGTTCAAAGCAGCAAGTGCTGGAAACAGCGGGGAACCCGTCAACGGATGTTAAAGACCTTGGTATATACTTCCAATAGGGTTAGCACTCAGCCGTCAAAAAGGACTGAATTGGCTAGGTGTGGGGGTGCATGCCTGTTAACTCAGTCCCAGAGAGGCAGGAGGATGACAACTTAGACTGTATAAGAAGACCCTGTCCCAAGAGCAAAGCAAGACAGACAGAACAACTGGCCGGACATTTCTTTGTGAGAGTCACTGGCTTCTTTCTTCAGCTGCTTCTGTATAGAACCCAGCACTTGTCTCCCTGCCCCCAGTCCGCCCCCCTGCCCCGTCTGAGTCAGCCACCCGCCGCATCTTCCTTCGCAGTGCCTTGGGAGTACTCCAGGGTCTCGCCATCCCCACCTCTGGGGCTTCTCAGCCCAGCCCATGCCCCTGCCTCAGACTTGCACCCACCCAGTCAGCCTGGAGCTCCGCCTCCCTCCCGCTGTGACCTTGTTGATGGGGACTGACACTTCCTAAGGAGAGCCAGGAGGAGGGAGCTAAGGAACTGATGATATTGCAGCCCCAGGGAAGTGGTGGAATCTTCTCCAGCCTGTCACAGACCTGACCTCAGCAGGGAGAGCTGGGCAGGTGCCTGGATCAGACAGGCTGATCGTCGACCTTCGCGTGGGACGTTGTAGAGGTTTACTACCTGAAAGATCAGGTGAAATCCATAGAAAGATTGGGTGGCCTTGTGACCCAGCTGAGCTTCAGACTGACCTTCTCATGTACCCATGTGATTTCCCTGGTCATGAAGGCAGGATGTGCATGTTGAGGTTACCTCAACTTTCTGTACATTGTATCAAAATGTTCACCTAAGTTCCTTAATTTGTGTCATATAAAGAAAATGGGTAGTTGGGTCATGAAGTTTTACAACACTGTGATGATCAATGCCTTGCAGAACAAAGGAGGAGAGGTTTGTCTGGGCCCATGAGAGGCTAGTGCCCAGCATGGCGGCCTAGAGATCAAGGCAGCTCAGAGGGAGAGAACACCTCTGTGGTCTGTCCCTAGCAACCCACTTCTGCTTGCTAAGCTACAGTCTCAAATGTCCTAGAACCTCTCCAAACAGTGCCATTAGCTGGGGGCTAAGTATTCAAACCCATGAGATTGTATGGACCTTGCATTCGAACGGTATCAGTGGATGAACCTGGAGAACCTTTTGCTACATGGAAAAAGTCACCACATACTTCCTCTCTGATCCCATTTTCATGAAAAGTCCAGAGCCGGCAAAGCCGTAGAAGAAGAAGGTAGATGAGAGCTGTCAAGGCCACAGGAGGGTTGGAAATGACTTCTCTTGGTACAGAGTTAGCTTGGGAGCAATGAACATCTGTATTTAGTATTGAAGAGCTAAGGTCATACTAAACTTAGGGATTTTATAGAATATTAATTGCATCTCAGTTTTTATTTTCTCTCTCCCGACTCTCCTTTTCAGCAGTTTTGAGACAAACTTCATGTATCCCAGGCTGGCCTCAAGCTTGCCGTGTAGCGGAGGATAGCTTCTGATGTGCCTGCCTGCCTCTGCCTTCTCAAGCACTGAGATTATAGATGTGCACAACCATGCCTGGTATTCTGTGGTCCTGGGGTTAGAATCCAGGCTTTACGTGTGCTAGGCAAGCATTCCACTGATTGAGTTACATCTCCATCCCTTGTCTACAGTTTAAGAATCAGATTACCAAACAGGAAGCGGGCAGACCCAGTGGCCAAGGAAAAGCCCAAAGCATTTGAATTCTGCTGTCTAACTTGGTTTTCTTTCCTCTTTCAGATTTTTGGGATATGCCTGGCACAGAACTTGGTGAGTGACATTGAAGCTGTCAGGGCTAGCTGGTAGACCTCGTGGACCCCTGCTGCAAGACACTGGACTGACCCCCTCGCTGACTCTCCTGTGCTGGCCGATGGCGCGCTGCAGGGACCTGGGCATGGGCCTGCCGGCCTACCTAATGGAGCTGCCGAGAACTTACTTTCTGTGAGGGTAAAACTGGGAAATGCTGTTCCCAGATGGAACTTTTCAAAAGAAAAACAGAACAGTGTGAAAGTCACTGAGTGCCGTGAATCTCTACTGTAGCCATGAGTTGATGGACAGATGGATGCCACCAGAAACGGAAACGGGGGAGGCCGGGCACTGCATGCACTTGAATTTGTGGAGAATCCAGTGCTGTCCACATCTTGGCTAAAACGGAGGCCCTTCCCCGCCAGGACCAAGTGTTCTGAAATCTCTCAATGCACATTTCCAGAAACTGCTCCAACTGATGTCTGGAGGGAAAAACAGCTGTCCCTGTGTTCAGATTTTGAGATGGCTGGAATGGGTCACTTCCAGGATGCATATCCTAGAGAGCCCCTTAAGAAAGGAAGCCAGGTGTTTGGGCGTAGCAAGTTAGGGTAGCAGCGATTGTGACCCGTGTTTCCACAGGACTGATCTTTCCTCTGAGTGGCCAGCCTGAGCTTTATCAGTGACATCCGAGGAGAAAACGAGGTTAATGAGAGGCACTAATTCAACGCCCCCCTCACCCCCCCTTACCAAACCAGTGCTTGGGTTCTCCTGATACTCTGGAATACTCTGGGCTGCGTTTTTGTGTTTTTGCTTCCTTTTTTATTGGTTGTTATTTTGGTTCTTCTTGTCTCCCAAAGGCAAAGGCTATAATACAGTCCTGCGTAATGTTTTCTTATTCAGCTTAAATAGTGTGTGTGTGTGATCCTCACCTGCATGTGCTGTGACCCTGAATCCACCATGTTCTTTTCCAAGAGATACTTGAGAACATCAATCAGCGTTTCTGTCATAGGTCCCAGCCTTGGGTGGTTGTGGCATGTTGTTCCAGCCATGTCTTCTTATGCCCCGTGGACTCACTGTCTCCCAGCATCCAGCTGAGCTTTTGTACAGCCTTGTCTTCCACACTGAGTGATATAAAGCCCAGTTCCAATGCAGGGATGACAGAGTCAAAAAGCATTTAACAAGGGTTTTTTTTTTTTCTTCTTCTTCTTGCATTTTTTTTTTTTTTTTGCCAAATATTAAAAAAAAAAAAGAAAAACAAACCTAGCGTAGTGCATGGCCAGAGCTGTCCTCATGAGGTGGCCTCAGGGTAGTAACAAAGCACAAATACTTGAGGGGCTGCACTGAGGCCCAGCCACGGTTCTGTGACAGTTGATGGGAAGCCACCTTCAGGGCCTCCTCTGCCTTGTGCCCACTGGGAGGGTGGATCTGGGCCCCAGATTTTCACCCAGTTTGAGGTAGCTCCTGGGTGTCGCCGTCCTGGGGGCCAGATTTAGACCGTGGGTTTCTGGGAAGGCTACAGCCTCTATGGTAGCAGGTCCGCATTCGCCCGCTAGCCTTCTGAGACGTTCAGCTCGGCTTCCCATTTCCACAGCCTGCCTGTGCGCTGCCGTGGCTGGTGGACAGTCGGCTCAGAGGGAGGAGAGGCACTCCTTTAAAAGTCCCATCTCAGCAGTTTGGGTGCGTGTGGCTCTTGCATGTATGTACCTGTGTCTGTTGTAGGTAGAGATAGTCATTCCATGTGTGGATGTGAGGTCACGTGACTTCGCCCCTGTCCATACCGTCGTTTGTGATGTCCTTCAACGCGGACACTTGTGCTCTCGGATTGGCACTTCTGTCTTCTTTATTACCTCATTCTCCAGTGAACTGCATCTGGCCAGTTGATTCAGAATCAGGCAAGATCCCCACCCTGTGGCACACCCAGTGAAAGCCAAGCCACAAGCCCAAGTGAGTTTTAAATTTTAATCACCCTTTATTTTTTACACTCGAGAGTGATTGTAATAAAAGCTGTCATTAATAAACTTGGTTCTACCTTACATGGATTATGTTGTCTTATTGTAAAACA